AAATACATACATATGTATATATAAGTATATAAGTCAAAAATATTTTCCATAAGCTGCACGCAATCTCTTTAAAATACAACAAAAAAAAAATTGGAAAAAAAAATTAAATAAAAATTTCAATTAAATGAAAAAAATTGTATATGAAATATTTAAAACCTACTTTACTTAACTGACATAAATCAGTAAAAATACATTGTTTACGATCATTTAACAAAGAAAAAAAACAAAATACAATACTTACTTACATGTAAGTATGTAAGTCTACATTGTATTTTTTGTCCGTCTATTAAAGATTACAATCTAGTTACCGTTTTTTGTGTTTGCTTTTTTTTTTTTATTTATTTTTTTTAATAATTTATTTTTCATAACAATTTTTTACCTTGACTTACTAAAAGGTTTTTTTTTTCTGCCTCCCTTCTACTTCATATGCTACTAGTCTTAAATTTTAAAATTATTGCAAAAATGTTAATTCATCTAAATGTTTCATAAGTACAGATAAGTACACGTATATATGTATATGTTGTTATGTGTGCAAATATTATATAAGAACAAGTTTGTAGTGTGTGTAAGATCGCGAACTAAATTTCAATTCAATTAACAATTTAAAATAATTCAATGTGCGCTTTAAATGAACGTGAATCTTTAAAATCAATCAAGCTACTTGACTATAAGTAATGAAATCATTAAAAAATTTGGCTATTCATCAATTGAGTATTTTAAACAATTTTATTAAAAGTTTATCTTAAATACTTTATATATAAACACTTAAAAGGTTAATAAGGCTTTAAAAATCAATGACTGAAATTTAGTACACTTAGAAAATTTTTATATAGAAATTTTAAATAATTTGAGAATCCAGAAATTATCTCATAAAACTAGAATTAATTTGATGTACTTGTGCTTTAACTTTAATTTCAAGTGCAGTACTTATAGCAATTGAGTACAGAACTAAATTTTCGTAAAACTACTGCATTAAAAAATAGATGCCAGATCAATATTTTGTAAAAACTTTGTAATCTCTGCATGTATAATTAGTATATTTTGAGTAAGTATACAATATATTTCTGATAAAACCATTAAATTTTTTATTTTAATTGAATATTTTTTTTATATATGTGTATGCCATACATAATGTTAATTCTGTTATATTGTTTACACATGCCTATTATTGATTCTGTTATTTTTTCATTTTAATATTACATAAATCTTCTAACTATTTGGAGCGACACAATATATAAACTTATAAACTGAAATTATTCAAAATTTTATGGTGTAAGGATGCATTCGTATACCAGATCATTGCAGGTTATATATTATATACATAACTATGCTTATTCTATATTTATATGGAAATATACATATGCAAAATAAAATGTCATAAATCATTTAAATTCTCATGCTAATTTTCACTCCTCCTTAACAGAATTCTTACTCACAACCTAAGTACTATCAACAATATATACACAATAATTTTAATTAACGTAATTGTAAATTAAGTATACAAACAATAATTTGTTTTTCTTCACGTTAAATTTCTTAATTTGAAATTCTAGACTAAAATAAAAATCTAAAATACTGTAACTTTAAAGCAAACATATTCGAAGATGCCGTAATACTAAGGTGTACTTGTACTACTTAATAAAATCTAATATTATTACGGTATATTTTTATTAAAACGGGTACAAATTTTTTTATTAAATTTTAAATTGAATTTCTTACGCACATAACATAAATTTATGAGTGAATGTACACATAAATTTAATAAAAATATTTGTTCTAGTTACTACATTTAATAATTTTAACTATGTCTCTCTGTAAACAATGTCTCTTTATGTTTAAATTTACTTTATTGAATTCTTTACCAATTAAAAAAAAAACAAGTAAGTAAGTAAACACATAATGTCACCTACATAGTTAACATTCTTTATATCCATAAGATGTTCAAATAATAATAAAGATTTTTCTTTTTTTTTATGGGCAATATAAGAATTTATTACTGTGCAACATGCATTTTTTATAATAAATTTATTTATACACAAATTATATATATACTGAGAATTGTACTACTTGTATAACACAAGAAAAAAATATCAAGTAAAAATTCTTTAGTAACAACGTGTGAAAATTTAACAGAATTTAGAAAAAAAAATATAGAAAACATACAAGAGAGAAAAAACTACAAAAAAAAAAAAATTTCATCATTAATGATTAAATATAATTACGTAAGTATGTACGTTTATAAATAAAGATAAAAATCAGGACAACTGGTAACTTTAAAACTGTCATATTGCAGTAAAAAATGCAAAAAGAAAAACAAGAAAAAAAAGCATTAAGCCATACAAAAAAAAAAATAAAAAAAAAACAAAAATCCTTTTTCAGATTTTTGTTATTTGCAGTATTTTTGCTACACAAAAACACAAACAACACTCTGGTCTCTCTCTCTCTTCTATACTATACACAACAACACAACACAGCATTCCCCATTCATACTTATACTATATAGCTTTTGTTATCAATTTATTAGTTTAGTTTTTCATTGAGTGTTAACGTTTTGATATATATACATATACATATATATATGTACGTATGAATGTATGATGTGATGTATAAAATTCAAAACTGATATTTTTATGTCGACAACAATAATAACGTTTAAGCTTAGTTGAATACTAGTTATATATGCTATTATAAATTTCCTGTTATATTAATGATTTTCCTATAAAATATTGGCATATGCATATATATATACATACATACATGCAGACGTAGTATATTATAATGAAATAATAATTTTTTAGACACTAAATGAGAATGTGTGCAAAAAATAGAGTATATATAATTGTACGTAAATTGTGATGATGTGTGTATTGAGAAAAAAAAAAGGAAAATTCAACAATAATAGTTTCTTCTTACTTAATGTACATATATGCGTTTTGCTTTTGCAATTCAATCTTCTTTCGAAGAGGAAAAACAACATTAAATTTTAAAAGGATTTCTATTTATTTTCTAGTATGGTATAAGTATAATGTAAGTATATATGGATTTCTAGTTGTTGGTCCTATTATAAATTCTGTTTGAATATAAATATGAAAATGTTGTAAGTCAAAAATAAATTGGTAACAGTTTTAAAAAGAAATTTTGTAAAAATATTAATCGAATACAAAAATGATAATTGAAATTTCTCAATTTTGGTTTGATTATCTTGAAAATTTACTACACTAATTTTTTATATCAGACATCCATTGGTTAGACCAAGCATTAAGCAAATCGCCAACAGGCGCAAATAAAAACATCATTTAGTCGCAACTATGCAACTATCAGTTATCAAGCAACAGCGCCATCATTTATTTATTTATTTTTTTTTCCCCTCCCTTTCCTATAAGGAAAGGGAGGGGAAAAAAAATAAAGAATAAGTTTGAAAAATAAAATGGAAATTACAAAAAAAAAAGTCAACTTGTTAAATAATTTTGGAATAAAATTAATACTGAGAACAGTGTTAAGAACAGTTTTTTTAACAGCTGTAAATATTATAATAACATTCGCACACAAATCATGATCTACAAAAAACTACATACTTAAAGGGACATTTCTAAATATTTAAGGACTACCAATCACCGTAGAAAAAATAAAATTTTAATGAAATCTCAAAACTATTTCTAATATTTTTGATTAATTAATTTTAGAAATGAAAGTCTTAAAAACCAATAATTTTTACAATAAAGTGTTTTGGTCGATTTACAACCGCCACTTCTTAGATTACTCAAAAAGTATTACATCGTCGCACGTAAACCTGACATAGAAAATATAATATAAATTCTAAGGCATAAGTATGTAAATTTTGTACAAATATTGTTTGTAAATTACAAATTTTAAAAAGAAAATATTGTAAATGCTTATTTTAAAGTAGCAATCATTTGCTCAGGGTTTGTAACCGCACTAGGAAGTTAAAACAAAAATAACTTAATCAGGTACTTCAATACCCTAAACTCTAAAGTAAAAAAATACAACAAGTAATAAGGTTGTAAAAATATCATTTCATTATCACCACATTCTATGTTAATAATGGTTCTGAGGTTTGTGACTTGATGTTCAGTACAGTATGTTACAGGTAATTTTTTCCTTATATAGTTAACAGAAACTTTCCAACGAATTATAATTTTAAAAAGATTATTAATATTAAATAATCTTTTTTGGATAATTTACAATACTTAATACTTTATCAACACTTACTAAAGTCCTTTATCTTTTTATGACATTCATAGGTATTAAAAAGATAATAACATTTATAGTAAACAAGTTGTGTTCCAACACAATTATTATTGGCACCGTAATAAAAATTTTGTGATAATTGTGTTTATAATTTTGTAATTTGTTGCCTTTTACAATGATAAAGTGTAAAATATTTCCGAAAACAATTAAGTAAGTTACTATAGTTATAAGTGTTTTATCTTGAGTTGCTAGAACAGGAATTCGATTATTTTTTTTTAATCTTATTGCATTCGATAAGATTAACAAAAAGAAAAATTTAATTTAAGATTATTTAGAAAGATTTTAATAACTTTCTTTATTTTAAACGAGAACAATAAAAAAAAATTAAAATATATTATAAAATAATCAAAGGAACAGGAATACCAAAAAAATTAGCGTTACGACATTTTATTTTTAAATGGATTTTTATTACCGCTGTGTTGTAAAAAAAAAAACAGTTAACAACGAGAAAAACTATAACCGATATTTCTTGATTCTTCTGATAAGAAATTCATAGATGAATTGAAGAATAAATTGAAACTGCGAAAAAAACAACAGGGCACTTAACAGAGCAACAAAAACAGATTAATGGAGAAAATAATGCTAAAAAGTTAAAAGCAAAAAATTGAACATATGTAAGTATAATATAACAAAACAAAAAAATGGAGACCTAGAATTTATTCTGGTCTGAACAAAAATAGAAGTAGTAGGAATTTGAAAAAAAAAAAAAAAAAACAAAAAAACTGGTTTACCTGTTTTCTTAACGAAGATACTGAATTATTGCATGAAGGCGATACTGTTGATAATGGTGATGATGCTGATGATGTTGTTGAAGTAGACCAGACATTACTGTTATTACTATTTAAATTGCTGTTACTTGTATTACTATTATTATTGTTATTGTTGTTACTATTTATATTATTATTTGTAGTACTATTCAAAAATTTCATTTTTCTAGGGCTACTGCATAATGATGTACTATTGTTATTAGTAATAATATTGTTGGTAGTAGAATTATTTATAGTTCCATTAGATATATCTGTTCCATTGATACCATTACTAATATTTGAATCTAATGAATCATTATTTGTTGAAGACATTATTTTTTGATTAATTTTATTACGTTGCTGTTGTTGTTGAATCAATGTATTATAATGTAAATTATCATGAAATGTACTAAATATTAATCCTGATGATGAAGTTGTTGTTATTACTGGTAATGGAGGTGGTGATAACATTGTTGATGATGATGATGTTATATTTTGTTGACTTATTAATAATTGTTGTGTTGTTTCTTCAGTAATTGATGAATTTCTTGATAAATTAAAATTTATACCAAAATCTAATGATTTTGTTTGATTTGTTGTATTACAATTTGTTATAATATCACTACCGCCAACACTGCCAACTGGATTAGAACCAGCTAATGAAAGTGAACGTGCAAAAGAACTTTTAAAATATTGACATGGTGTATCTAAATCAAAATCAGGAAGTATTGTTATATTATTTGATGCCGGTGTTGTTGACGATGATGATGATGATGATGATAATGGAGATGATGTTGTTGATGATAATAATATATTTGATGGTACTGTTGTTTTTGTTGTACCTATTCCAGATGTTGCTAATGTTGTTATAATTTTATCTGTTGATAATTTTGTTAAAATATCTGATTTAAAATTTAAATATTCCATTGTTTTGTTATTAATATTATTAGGAGCTGTTTGATAATTTTTTGATGATAATGATGATACAGAACCAATATTATTTGATGTAATTATTGTTGATTTTAAAATATTATTGGTATTATTACTAATAATATTATTTGTATTACTGTTAGTATTTATATTACCGGTGGATGTTTTTGATGAATTATTTCCTGAATTTGATAAATTAATGGCAAGATAACTGGTTGTTGCTACTGATGTTGGTATTATAGATGATGATGATGATGATTGTATACCAGTTGTTGAAGTTAAACTTGAATTGTTACAGTTTGATAAAATTGTAGCGGCAGATGATGATGTAGATGATGTTGATGTTATAAAACGTTTTGGTATCCTTATTTCATTACTTTGTAGCCTAGACTCCATAATGGTTTCACTTTAAAATTGGTAGGTCTGTATGTATGTAGGTATAACCAAAATAAAAAATTCAGGATTATTTTTTTTTTTTTAAATTTTTAAGTTTTGGTTTCGTTTAAGAAATTTTTTTTGTTTTAATTTCGATTTTTGTTTTCTCAAGTTGATTTCATAATTATTTAAATTATTATTTAAATTTTAACTCATTTTTGGAAATACAATTAATTATTATTAAAAATATTTTAACTTTTGAAAATATTTTTTAATAATTTTTCCACTAATTCACATATTTTCATTCGATTTTTACGTATAAATGTGTGCTATGTATGCATGTGTGTTTGACATTCGTTTTCTTAAAAATTAAATTTCGTAAAATATTTTGACAATTTTTTCAATAAACATTTGCTCTGTTTTTTTATTTTTTTTGTTACCCTTTTTTTATTATTACTCAATAAATAATTTTAACTTTGAATTTTTTTTATTACTTTCAATACAAGAATTTGGAAACCATTATACTACTTGTATAAAATCTGTTATACCTTATGCCTGTTAAGTACACTAGCACTTTATATTTCAAATTTTTTTTTTTTGGATATTTATTTTACAACAATAAAGAACGGATCATTTTTTCGCACTTCAATTAAAAATTATTTTTTTAGCAAATTTTCTTAATTTTTTTTTAACAGAATTAACAACCGTATTTTTTTCATTTTTATGTAACGAACGGGTCTTTTATTTTATTTTTTTTTTTGAATTTCTTCTCCAAAATAAATTTTTATTTGAAAAATTATAAGCGAAAAGATAATTTTCAAAAACAACAAAAAAAAAACACAAAATGTTGCTTTTTTTTTTTAAGTTTTCCCTCGATTTTTTGTGTTTATATTTTATTTAATTCGAAATTTATTTTTATAAAATATACACGATGCGAACTCAACCAGCGACAGAGTGCAATTGTTAAGTTAAAATAAAAATTTTACTCAAAAAACCATCGATGATTGAAAGAAGAAAAGGGAAAAGGTACGTACATAAAGCAGCATAACAAAACAAAATGAGAAAAAAGAAGACAAGACAACAGAAAAAAAAAAACGGTAATAAAAGTTGTAAGCTGAATTGAAATTATTGGTATATGTGTTTGTTGATTGGTGAGTATGTTATACGGTGTATGCCTGTTCAGTATAAGTATATTGTATATTTGTATAACAATATTTTTTGATAAATTAGTAATGTATTTAAAAATTATCACAGTAGGGAGTAAAATATTTAAAAATTAAGAATTTTATAATGCAATTAAAGTGGTTTCACTTAAAAATGTTGCCTAAATAAAATTTGGAAGTTTTTATTTTAATATAAGTCAAAATTTTGACAACATATTTGTTATATGAGGCGCTCATTGCATTAGTGGTCTGTTCAGCACTCTCTCAAAAATGAGTTATTATGTTCAATAGACCTGTAATGGCCTAAAGAATTATTCTATATTTTCAAAATACTTTTAGTTTACTTCTCTTTTCACTTTATTTTGACATAAGTTTGTTTTTGCCTTTTTAAAAATTTCCTTAAAAATTAAATATTTAACATTTAACTTGCAATTTACTCGAAATGTCATTTTTGAACGTAAGCCATTAATGCGCTCAGTGTCTCATATATACTGTCAAAAATTTTTTACTTAAAAAAGTAAAAAATGTATAAGTGTTTTTTTAAAAACTAAAACAAACATACATACATTTACACTAATTCTAACGGGTTATTTCAATTTTATCGATACTTTGTAAAAGTTGCTTATTGTTCTGCACATAAATAATTTAACCGAATCGCTGAATCCTAGATATTAAAATAAATACGAAGGAATTTTAATGTAAACTGTTATAAAGCAAAGATTTTTCTGTTTTGACAGAAACCCCCTTTTTCCAAAAGACATACATATGTACATATTACGGACCTTAATGTGTTTACATCAATTTTTTTTATAATTGCTGGTAACACTGTATTATCATCATATTAATATAATACTTCCCTTAAGGCATTTATTTTACATTAAAAATTCAAAACGAAATGTAAATTCTTGAATATCAAACCAGATTATGCACAATTAACAAAATTTGAATGTAACATATATGCTACAATTTTCTAAAACATTACAATATAATATTCTGCCTGCTGGATATTAGTTGACTATGATATTATTTTGAATCGAATATACAATGCACTGCATCCTAAAATCTCAGTAAAATAAAATTAAATATTTTTCTTTCTCTTATATAGTTTTTTAACTGTTATAAATTTGAATGTATTTTATAAATATTCATGTATATACATACATATTGTATGTACATATGTATAGCGTATATAATTGTGTGCATTGTATTGTAATACATGCAGGTAAAGCAGTTTATGTATGTATGTAGGTAGTTTTGTTATTTGATTTTTCTTTTAGATCTCATCATATGATTTAATAAAATTATGTATTGAGTAAGTATTTACTGCAATAGGAAAAAGAATATATGTACAAATAAATATATATATACATATATATGTATATAGCAATGTACATTAAAAAATATTTTGACTGGAGAGTGGAGAGATATAACAAAAATTATAGTGATGGAATTTCATAAATGTCAAGTGAATTGAATTTGTTTTTGTTTACATACAGTTTTTTTTTACTTGTTTTGTTAGGCTCTTCAAATGAAATGAATTGCTGAATATTGAGAGTATAACAGTTAAAAATATTTTCTCATGGTAACCGGCACTTCTCAATTTATGAAATTTTAATTTTTATAATTTATTGTAAATTTAGTTTTTTTTTTATTATTTGTTTACGTTTCTCCTAAATTTTGGGTTTTTGCTTTTTCTTGGCGGTCGTTTAGATATTTTTTATTTGTTTTTTATTGTTTTTTTTTTTTGCTTTTTGAAACCATATAAGCGTACATTTTTGCATAAATTTTATTGAAGTAAAAATGGCAATTCGAAGATTTTCAATTTTTTTTTTTCAAGTGAATTTTGAAAAAAAATTTAAATATAATTTGGGTTTTTTGTTTTAGAATCTTTTTTCAATGTTGACATTTTAACAAGTTTAGAAAGTTTTCAATAAAATATGCTAAAATTTTGGTAATAACCTACATTTTTTGTAAATTACTAAAGTGTTCAAACAAATTTTACATGAAGATGTCATTTAGTCTTTTTAGAAATTTTACAATAATTCATTTTCGAAAACTACACACACTTGTAATTAACACTAAGTAAAATAGAAGAAAAATTTAGAAGTTCTTTTCTGATTCGGAAATTTGGAAAGTGAAATTAAGTTTTCATCTAGAAATTTCCCATCTTACTGGAGTGCCTGAACATTCGCGATTCGAAAAGCATACGCACTTTAATAAAAGTAATTACGGAATAAAAGTTATTATGAATCCCCGTTCCTTGTCGGCCAAAAATTTTAATCTTGAATAGCCATACGATAAACATTAATAAAAAGAATGAATCTTGAGATGTTTGTTTTTTTTGTAAGTCAATATGGATGTTACAAGTTACATAATATTTCATTTTAAAAAAATATTTAGAAATTTTTCTAATATGAGACATAAATTCTAACACTTAAATTTGAAAATTGAGTGTAAGAATTTATCTACGTCTCATAAAATTTGCACGTAATTGAAAATCATATTTGCAAAAACATTGAATATATACATAATTGGATGGAAATTTTAAAAATTGATTCAGCCTATACTCAACTTATTTTGTTAACACTGGTTTACTTACCCATTGCGTTTGATATTCATATCCAATCAACTTAAGTACATGTTCAGCTTAAAAGCGTTTAGAGCTCCAAAAGAAAAATTTTTATAGAGTAATCATTTCCACAAATATAAATAAATACATTTTTTTTCCCCGAAAACTATTTATTGGAACTAGTGTAAAGCTTCAATGACAAAATGCGCTTTTATAAATTAAAATCTTTTTGAGACTAAATTGTGTAATTTAGTGTATGTATGTATGCTGTTAAAATCTTCAAATAATGCTTTATACATATGTACTCGTATGTATGTATTTTCAATTCGAGATTTCTAATAATAAATAGAGGCTTTTATGCTGTTAATTTTACGGTAATAAAGTGAAAAGTGCGATATTTGTACATTTGTGTGAAAGTTTGTGTGAAAGTAGATATATATATATTTATTAAATTAAAAATACATAATAGGAAATATATCCACATAAACATTAAATTACATACTTACCAAAATATAAATGATTTAATTTTAAAACGGTAAAGATTAAATTCTAAAAACTTATTTTTGTTAAATTGTATAACAGTTGCTCCGTAGCAAAAAAATTTATCAAATACAATAACCATTTAATCTCACTATAATAGGAACAAAGTTTTAGATGCACTGATATTTTTTAAATTTATGCACATCCGAACAATTTGATTTTATTTTATAATTTAAAATTTTTGTGTTCTATATCTCACAAGATGACTCTGTATTAGATACTAAAAGTATTTTTATTATAAAACGAGAAGAACTTAAATTAAAAAAAAAAAAATATAAATAAAATTATTAAGACTTCTATTACGAATTTCGAAAAAATTCAAAATTTTATTAAATAACTTTAATTATTGAGGATGCATTTGCTGAATAAATTTTTATTAATTTTTCTCAAGTTTATTATTATGGGAACAAACCAATAAATTTGTTGTTTTTTTTTTCTATCATCTTTATAATATTACAAAATTTTCTCAGCAATATAAAATTAACAACAGATCCATCTGTTAACACTTTTGTATATTATATTTTTTATCATATAAAAAATATAATATATAAAATTACAGCTCTGCTTATAGGTTTAAGTATTTGATAAATTCACAATAATTAGTATTATAAATTTACCGTTTCGTATCAATTTAACATTATTTTATTTTTGTCGCGAAAATAAGGAAAATTTATATTAGAAAAAATTTTCCGAATTAAATTCATGTATGTGTGAATGAATGCATGTGGATTGTTGAATTGTTTTGCTTATATGTAAGCCAATATACACAAACCCACCTATAAAATTATTTGAAACTACATATTTATAAAACTCTTTAAATAAAAAACACAAGAGATAAAAAAAAAGAAAAACAAAGTAGGAAAATAGAAACAGAAAGAAAAAAGGTAAAATAAAAAAAAAATCAAACAAAGAAAATCATTGGAAAAAGTGTTTTCATTAAAAGAATTTTCTATTTTTACAAAAACTCGCTTCAACTAAAATTCTAAATATTCAAATTTTAAATTTTCGTTCATAACATTGAATTTGTTTATTAAATTAGCTTTATTATTTTTGGCTACTTTGAAAAGGATGACAGTTTTCTTGTTACTCGGCGAATTATTATTGCTAACTCTACATTAATTTATATTTACAATGTTTATTGTAGTGATTTGCTACTATTAGAATTTAGTTCTAAATTTTACGTGAACGTTACGTTCTTAAGCAATTTAGAATTTTGTAGGTCAAAAATGCACGAAAATCTATTATTATCAAATATCAATGAAAAATATTTACGGGATTAAATTAAATTTAAAAATTTTACAAGATACTTTATTTGTCATAAGAGAAATGCAATATTTTGTGGTATACCTTGCTCTCACATCAAATTGTTAGCGCTATATAATTTTGTGACTTTAAGCCAAAAATTGCCCATTTACATAATTTTTTTTTGTGAAATAGAAAACGTATATTACTCCACTAATTGATAATTAATTAAACTCTACATACAGTTGACTCATACTTATATGAACTAATGAATTTGAGAAACAAGGATTTAGATAACCGAATTGCTCATATGAGTGGAAGGGTTATTAAAAATGCTAAAGAGTAACTGAAATGTTTATTTTATAGATTTTAAAATTATATTACAATTGTAGCTTAACAATATAACAGTCTTTATTTTTTACATTTATATCA